TCCCTCTCTCCTTTTTTTTTTTTTTTTTTTTTTGAGATGGAGTCTCACTCTGTCGCCCAGGTTAGAGTACAATGGTGCGGTCTTGGCTCACTGCAGCCTCTGCCTCCTGGGTTCAAATGATTCTCTTGCCTCAGCATCCCAGTTAGCTGAGACTATAGGCACATACCACCATACTTGGCTAATTTTTGTATTTGTATTTTTTGTTTTTTATTCTCAGATGGAGTCTCACTCCTATCACGCAGGCTGGAGTGCAGTGGCGCGATCTTGGCTCATTGCAACCTCCACCTCCCGGGTTCATGCGATTCTCCTTCCTCAGCCTCCCAGGTAGCTGGGATTACAGGCACACACCACTACACCTGGCTAATTTTTGTGTTTTTAGTAGAGACGGGGTTTCGCCATGTCAACCAGGCTGGCCTCGAACTCCTGACCTCAGGTGATCCACTTGCCCTGACCTCAGGTGATCAATCCTGCCAAAGTGCTAGGATTACAGGCATGAGCCACCACACCCGGCCTAATTTTTGTATTTTTAGTAGAGACGGGGTTTCACTATGTTGGCCAGGCTGGTCTCAAACTTCTGACGTCATGATCTGCCCGCCTCGGCCTTCCAAAGTGCTGGGATTACAGACATGAGCCACCGCACCTGGCCTCCTTTTTTTTTTTTTTTTTTGAGGGAGTCTCACTCTGTTGCCCAGGCAGGAGTGCAATGGCGCAATCTTGGCTCACTGCAACTTCCGCCTCCTGGGTTCCAGTGATTCTCCTACCTCAGCCTTCTGAGTAGCTGGGATTACAGGTGCTCGCCACCATGCCCGGCTCATTTTTGTACTTTTTTTTAGTAGAGATGGGTTTCTGCTATGTTGGCTAGGCTGGTCTCGAACTCCTGAAGTCAAGTGATCCTCCTGCCTTGGCTTCCCAAAATGCTGGGATTATAGGCATGAGGCACCGGGCCTGGCCTCTCTCTCTCCGTTCTCCCCATCCCCTGAGGCAAGTCACCAACCCCTCCACAAGCTGCTTTCCTCATTTGTATGAGAAGGATAACCAGGGACCTTCCCTTTGTTAAACGAAATCACAGAGTAGGCCGGGCACAGTGGCTCACGCCTGTAATCCCAGCACTTTGGGAGGCTGAGGCAGGCGGATCACCTGAGGCTGGGAGTTCGAGACTAGCCTGGCCAACATGGTAAAACCCTGTCTCTATTAAAAATACAAAATTAGCTAGGCGTGGTGGCGCATGCCTATAATCCCAGCTACTCGGGAGGCTGAGGCAGGAGAATCACTTGAACCCGGAAGGCGGAGATTGCGGTGAGCTGAGATTGGACTATTGCACTCCCGCCCAGGCAACAAAGTGAAACTCCATCTAAAAAAAAAAAAAAAAAAAGTGGCCGGGCGCGGTGGCTCAAGCCTGTATGTGTGCAACAGATGCCAGACACATTTTTGCCTCCCTTGCTTCTAGTACCATCAGCACAGTGCAACTCACACAACCAGCCACTCAGATGCCCAATAAAACCACATAGAGGTGGACTCAGATCAGCCCAGCTCCTCCAGAAGCCTCTCCCAGCTCAAGACCCCAAGCTGCAGAGGCTGCGCACTGCCCACCTGCGGCTGTCTTCCTCCTCACCTAAAGCCCCGTTGAGGTTCTGAAAGATCCGAGACTTATGATCCAGATTAAGGCTGAGTTTCTCCTAAATGGAATGAGATGCGTTAGAGTGGTTAAAATGGAAGGAGTGGGAAGGACATCATTTCTCTCTTCTCTCTCTCTCTCTTTTTCTCTCGCTTTTGTTGCTTAGGCTGGAGGGCAATGGCATGATCTTAGCTCACTGCAATCTCTGCCTTCCTGTTCAAGCGATTCTCCTGCTTCAGCCTCCCAAGTAACTGGGACTACAGGAGAGTACCACCATGCCTGGCTAATTTTTGTATTTTTAGTAGTGACAGGGTTTCACCATGTTGGCCAGGCTGGTCTCAAACTCCCGACCTCAAGTGATCCACCAGCCTTGGCCTCCCAAAGCGCTGGGATTACAGGCGTGAGCCACCACGCCCAGGCACACATTTTTCTCTTTACAGCTCCCTTTGCCCCTCCACTCCTAAGGCCTCCACTCCCACAGAGGTGTGGGATGCACCCACTCCTCTGTCTTCCCTACCCTCAGTCCTGGGTCCAGGTAGAGCCGTGTGTAGAACAGCTGGTCATCGTCGTCATCCTTGTACTTCCACTGGCGCACGATCTGGTGGATGGTGGTGGCAAAGCCGATGAATCCTGGTGGGGAGGGGAAGTGTTGACCCCGAGACTCCTAGGGTCCCAGGGCCTGTCCCCCAGGCCCTCTCCAGCCCTCAGGCACCTTTAACACTCTGTCCCACCGCTCTTGGCCCCTCTGCCTTGGGCACCTTGCCACTCACCACCAGAGTTGAGGAAGCGCTTCCCCGTGCCCACCTCAGGGTACTGCTCCGCCAGCCCCCACTCGGGCCAGCAGAAGCTCTCCGCAGAGAAGAGCAGGCGGCTGCCACTCTGGACGAACTTCTTCAGCAGCTCTGAGGGGCTGCCCGCCAGAACCACATCGTAGCTGGGTGAGGAAGGGATGGATGAGCAGGGGTCCACTGGGAACCTCAGCATCCTTACCTTGCTCCCTATCCCCAGCCCCATTACCTGTCCACAAACATGATGATCATATCCTCCCTGTCAGCGTATTTCTCCATTTCCTTCTTGAGCCACCGGACCTTCTGTCCTCCACCGACCGTTCGGGCCACATCACCCCCTCGCCACTCCTCTCCCAGGCCCAGGGTCTGCGGAGAAGATGCCTCATGCCAGGCAAGGGGTGGGGAGTTGTCGGGGGCGGGGGGAGAGGGGGGAGCTCCTGACCAGGCTCACCGTGGGGACCTGGGCATCCAGACTTCAGCCTACCCCTCCTGCTGGGACCCCCTCCCAGAGGCTTTTCCCTCTCCTCACCCGCACGGTGTAGTTGAAGAACTCCGCAGAGCGCAGGAAACGCAGGTACCCCTCGGTTTCAGCTGTGGCCACAGTCATCACCAGCAGCTTCTCTGTTACCAGAGGGAATTGGCACTTGGGATCCACCGCCCAGCTCCGGGCCCCACGTGCTTTGCTGTCCTCCCTCTCACTCGACTTCTCTCCCTTTCTTCCTTCCCATTCTTAAACTCTTCTCACCCAGGAACACTCTGACCCCAGGGAGGACAGGGTGGGAGTGGTGCCCAGGAATTCCGAGTCCGTTTGCACAGGGAGGCTGGAAACCTCAGTTCAGGGTGGTAATGGGCAAGGGACTTGGCGCGACTCAGCCCCAAGAGCACGCTGGGCGGCGGACGGGACAGACACCTCCTCGAGCCCCCGACCCTCTCCGGGCCAGGCTGGCAGGCACGTCAGCCTCTGCCCCCTTGGCCGCGCCGGGCCTCCCTGGGATCTCACCTGGGTTTACCGGGTCTCGGCCCCGGGGCCGGTCGGAGGCTGAGGCCGCAGGGGGCAGCAGCAGCAGCAGCAGCAGGAGCCGGAGTCCTGGCCCCGAGGAGGTCATGGTGGGGAGCGGGCCCAGACAGCACCCAGGATCCTGGGACCTCAGCTACGCGCCTGGATCCCAGCTCCGGAGGGGAGCTCCGGGAAGGGGGCGCTCGGGCTGCTGTGCAGCCGCCGCGGGGAGCAGCTGGGCTGGGGCCACGCCCTGGAAAAAAGGCGTATCCGGAGGCTGCAGAAAGCTCCAGATGCCGGCGCCGCAGACAAGGCGAGGATTGTCCCGGGCGCACGGGAGGCGGGGGAGGGGCGGCAGCTCGGGCCGGCGGGCGGGAGACAGCGACTCTGGGCCGAGCCCCCCGCTTTACACATGTGGAAGCTGAAACCTGGACAGGGGAAGTGACCCCTGGCGGTGGGTCCGGAGGGACGCGGGGGCGGGTCCTGGCAGCAGCCCTGCTGGGAGAGTGAGGGCGGAAGACGGGGAGAACTAGGGGGTGGCGGCGACAGGGAGGGAGGAAGCCCAGGAGTCCGCCGCGGGACGGAGGCCTGGGGGAACTGGGAGCTGAGCTTTCTGCAGAGGGCCACTAGGAACCTCGGATTGCCCACGGAAGCCAGTCCACTGGGATCAAAGCCACTTTCTTTGACAGTTCGGCCCACTTCCTTTTCTGCCCGGGGAGAAGCTCCAGGGTCTGCCTTTGTGATCAGAGCATCTTCACAAGGACCAAAGGAAAATAAGGTTTCTAGTAAGAACACCGTGAGCACATCTTTAAAATGACCCATTTCGTGGCTCCTACAAGATTTACACTTCCACACTGAGGCCGGAAGTAGTTTTGCCCCTATAAAACATGGCAAAAAGCTTTCTTGTCTCCAAGGAAACGCCACGTAATGAGTCAAAGCGGTGACGCACGCGCGGAAGTACAAGCCACCGGAAGTGATGGCGCCCCTACCAACGCCGTGGGTTTAGTACGCGTGCGCAGCAGTCTCTTCCGACAGTTGTGTTGTGCAAATGGTGGAGAAGAAAACTTCGGGTATGTGTGCCCCCGCGGTTCGCTCCCTTCCCCTTCCCAAGTCCAAACCAGTCCTAGAATTTTCTTACCTAGTCATTCCTCTTTTTTTTTTTCTTTTGAGACGTGGTCTCGCTCTTTCACCTAGGCTGGAGTGCAGTGGCGTAGTCATAACTCACTGCAGTCTCGAACTACTGGGATCAAACCATCCTCCCATCTCAGCCTCCCGAGTGGCTGGAGCTGAAGGCATGAGGCACCACGCCTGGCTAATTTTTAATTTGTTATGTGATGACGGGCTCTCGCTATGTTGCCCAGGTTGGTCTCCAACTGTTGGCCTCAAAGCGATCCTGCCGCGTGGGCCTTCCAAAGTGCTGGGATTACAGGCGTGAGCTGCTGCGCCCGGCCCCAGCTATTCCTCTTAAATCCATTCCTTAGCCCTCGGGTCCTGGCGTTGACCATTCACGTTTTATTGATGCCTGCCCCAAACCGGGCGCTGGGGATGAAAAGGAGAAAGATCCCTGTTATCCAAGCATTGGCTTTTTCTGGAAGGGGGACAGAAATGCAGACTTACCACTGTATTTCACTGTGATTTGTGCTATGGCAGAGGGAGGCACAACGCCTGCGAACAGGGAGGCGTGGCTTCTAGCCCAGGTTCTGGGAGGCAGGGGACTGAAACCTTGAAGGAAAACCGAAAAAGCTTGAATTGAGTCTTGAAAGTCTAGTTAGGGTTTCTCTTAGTGGGAACCTCACGTGCAAAGGCAGTAAAACAAGAAAAAACCTAGTCCCTTAGGAAACCAAGTCCATAGTTTGGATTTTACAGAGTGATAAGAAAGGATGGAAAACTGAGGAAAGGTTACATTTTGAAAGGCATTATACACACTGCCCAGGAGTTTGAACTCTGTGGGGAAGCATTGGAGAGCTAGCAAAGGCTTTTTTTTAGATGGAGTCTCGCTGTGTCACCCAGGCTGGAATGCAGTGATTCTATATTGCTCACTGCAGCCTCAACCTCCCACGCTCAAGTGATTCTTCCGCCTCAGCCACCTGAGTAGCTGGAACTACAGGTGGGTGCAGGCCGCCATGCTGGGCTAGTTTTTATATTTTTTGTTGAGATGGGTGTCACACTATGTTGCCCAGGATGATCTTGAACTCCTGAGCTCAGATGATCCTTCTGCCTCAGGCTTCCAAAATGCTAGGATTACAGGCATGAGCCACTGCGCTTGGCCCTTTCAGTTTTTCTTTTCTTTTCTTTTTTTGAGATGGAGTCTCGTTCTGTCCCCCAGGCTGGAGTGCAGTGGCGCAACCTCGGTTCACTGCAAGCTCCGCCTCCTGGGTTCACATCATTCTCCGGCCTCAGCCTCACAAGTAACTGGGACTACAGGCGCCCGCCACCACACCCAGCTTATTTTTTGTATTTTTAGTAAGGATGGGTTTTCACCTTGTTAGCCAGGATGGTCTTGATCTCCTGACCTCGTGGTCCGCCTGCCTCAGCCCCCCAAAATACTAGGATTACAGGCATGAGCCACTGCACTTGGCCCTCAGTTTTTCAAAGGCATCGCAGTCTCCCAGCCATTACTGTTTTCATGTTGGCCTTAAGGCCTGAAACACCCTGCTGTCTCCCCTGAGCCAGGCCATTCACCAGTTAGGCCTTAACCTAGACTTACCTTCTTCTGGGAGGTCTTCCCTGACTACTCCAAGGCCAGGTTGGGTGTTTCTGTCCTGGGCTCCGCAGCACTTTATACTTCCGTATCCTAGCCTACCCCATGCCGTACTTTCTTTGTTTGTTTGATTAATCATTTGTGTTGGCCACTGGACTGTAAGCTTTTGTATCCCTAGAACCTAGAGCACTGCCTGGCATTTGGAAGGGAGACAGAGTAGTACGGTGATCACAATCATGGTTTTTTTTTGTTCGTTTGGTTTTGGGTTTTTTGTTTTTTTTTTTTTGAAACAGGGTCTTGCTCTGTCACCCAGGCTGGAGTGCCGTGGCACAAACACAGCTCACTGCAGCCTTGAGGTCCTGGGCTCAATCAATCCTCCCGCCTCAGCCTCCTGAATAGCTGGGACTACAGGTGTGTGCCACCACGCCCAGCTAATTTTTGTATTTTTTTGTAGAAACAGGGTTTTGCCATGTTGCCCAGGCTGGCCTCAAACTCCTGGGCTCAAGCCATACACCCACCTTGGCCTCCCAAAGTGCTGAGATAACAGGCATGAGCCACTGCGCCTGGCAAGGTCATGCTTTTTGATGCTGGGCAGTTCTTTGACTTCTGACCTGGCCACTTGCTAGCTGTGTGAACTTTGGACACATTTCTTTTTTTTTTTTTTTTTTTGAGGCGGAGTCTCGCTCTGTCGCCCAGGCTGGAGTGCAGTGGCCGGATCTCAGCTCACTGCAAGCTCCGCC